ACTCTAACAAGGTACTTCTGCTTGCCAGAACCCTATTTGCATTGCTCTGTAATTTCCCAGTACTTCTCATCCACCATCTATCAAGCCTAGTTTGGGCTGTAAAATTATTCTGTTTACCTCTTCCAGGTAGCTTCCAGAAATGAGAGCCTTTTATTCCCCACAGCTCTTATTTGTTTACCATCTGTGCCCAGTTCTGCAAAACGCTGGAGAGACAGGGAGAGGGAACGAGAGCGAGAATAATTTTGAAAAACAGACAAACAAGGCTAGAGATTGGTAATAATTTCTAACGCTGGTGCATATCAGAAGAAGTAATATGAACCACTTGGAGAACATTGTTGTGGAATATTAAACAAACAGGATTTTGTAGTAACTATAGTGGTCTCATACTATTGGTTATTAATCAAAAGAATGGTCCAGTTTAGGTTTAATTAGATCAGTGGTTCCCAACCTTTTTTTGACCAGGGACCACTTTGACAAGGGATCACTTGGACCAGGGACTACTTAACCAGGGAACATTTTGACCAGGGACCACCTTGACCAGGGACCACTCTCCAACATTAGTATCAAAAGAATTACGAATCAGTTTTTGGTCAACTTTAGATTCAGTTTGGTTATTTGGGGTGCTGATTCAGAAAATTGCATTGGATAGATCATATCAGCTCTAGTTTCTGATACAGAACATATGCCATGGTCAGCAACAGGGAAGGAGTGGCAGTGGAAAGAAGTGAAAGAAGTAGAAAGAAGTGAAAGGAGCGGAAATAAAATAAAATAAATAAATAAATAAATAAAGAAGAAGAAAAAGTTCTTCTTCTTCTTCTTCTTCTTCTTCTTCTTCTTCTTCATTTTTCTACCCCGCCTCCAGTTAAAAAACTACCTTCATGCATTGTGCATAATAATAATAAATAATAAAACTTTATTTATACCCCGCTACCATCTCCCAAGGGACTCGGTGCGGCTTACATGAGGCTGAGCCCACAATACATCAATACAAGCAATAACAATTACAATGCGAAGCAAAATACAAATATTAATACAAAGCAATTAAAATAAATCTCATACACAAATAGCATAAACATTGAACAGTGGCACAAAACACATTTAAAAACTATGGCTGGGCCAAATGTAATTAAGTTAAAAAATAATGCTGGGCATGAACAAGGTAGAGGAAATGGGGTGTTGGGGGAACATACAAGCAGTCCTAAATCAGTATAAAGTGCTTTTGGAGGACATAATGCTAAGGGTTCATTATTCTGGGAAGGCACACTGGAACTATTTATTTTATTTATTTACAGTATTTATATTTCGCCCTTCTCACCCTGCAGGGGACTCAGGGCGGATTACAGTGTACACATATATGGCAAACATTCAATGCCAATTTGACATACAACGTATACAGACATACACAGAGGCTATTTAACTTTTTCTGGCCGCCAGGGGAGCTGTCGCTTTCATGGTCCATCTGCGACACTGATGAAGGACTTCCGCATTCCCCGCATGCTTTTGTTGGAGTGCTTTTGCTGGTCTCATAAATTAGTTAATTTAGCCTCCCCACACAAGGTGGTACCTAATTTTCCTACTTGACAGATGCAACTGTCTTTCAGGTTGCAAAGGTCGACAACAGGCTACACAATTGGTTGGAAGCCCACTCCAACCCGGGCTGGCTTTGAACTTATGACCTTTTGGTCAGAGTGATCTTAATGCAGCTGACACTCAGCCAGCTGTGCCACAATCCCGGTGCAACCACGTCTTCAAGCTCCTCCTAAAGACTGCCAGAGTTGGGGCATGCCTGATATCCTTAGGAAGTGAGTTCCAGAGTCGAAGGTATACATGATGCATAAATGAATTTTGTGTTTAGACATGTGTTCCATTTCCATGGGGCTGTGGTGGCACAGCGAGTTATACTACTGAGCTGTGGAACTTGCTGATTGAAAAGTAGGCAATTCGAATCCACAGAGCGGGGTGAGCTTCCATCATTAGCCCCAGCTTCTGCCAACCTAACAGTTCAAAAACATGCAAATCAATAGGTACCGCTCTGACGGGAAGGTAACAGTGCTTCATGCAGTCATGCCGGCCACATGACCTAGGAGGTGCCTATGGACAATGATGGCTCTTTAGCTTAGAAACAGAGATGACCATCACCACACAGAGTCAGGACATTACTAGACTTAATGTTAAGGAGAAATCTTTACCTTTACTACCATCTCCAAGATATCTCATTATATAAATATAGGTATCCCACCACTCCCATGCCTAATCCAAAGTACTTCTGGCCCCAGGCATTTCAGATAAGAAAATTCTAAGATATCCAATACCCATAACATACTTCTGATTACTGGCCCAAGAAAGTTCTCCTTTAGGATAATGCAGTTAGTCCTGGGTGAATCTGGTTGACTCTCGGTAGAAATAGTTATTTTAAATATCTTGCTGACTAGGAGGAGGCATGCCTGTTTATGTACCTTACAACAAATATTTAAGGGTTGGGTTTAATAGGATACTGAAGCAATGATAATGTATACTGTTGGGTTGTAATATTGATCAGTGGGATATAAATTAAGAAGGTCGACAGAACCTGAACAGCTTTATGAGTTGCTTTATATATTTTAAGCATTAAAATATCAAAGGTAAATGTACTGATCTCTCGGGAGGGAAATATCAAAAGTTAAAAGCACTTCTCTCTAAGGAAGAAAATGTCAAAAGCAGAGGTTGGGCAATGCAGCATTTGCGGCATTTGGATTTTCCCTAATGAAGGTATTGTCATCTCTGGGTGTTTCCTAGACAAAATTAACTCTGAACATGTTTTCTCCATATTTCATAGCACAACAAATACACATGTAAAAAAATTCCCAGATGTTCTCTGCCATGTGGTGTTTGTAACCTCAACCTTTTAAATTATATCCAAAGAAAACTCATGATTTATCTCAAAGTTTACACATTCACCTCACAGCAATGTGTGTGGCAAGACTCAAATATCTTTCTAATTACATAGGGATCTGTGGAAAAATAATCATTTATAGAGTGGACTTTTTAGAACTGGCAGTAACTTGAAAAGAGAAATATTCAAGTTTTCAGGGGCAGAGGCTCTGTTTAGGGGCAACGGAGGATGGCGCTCTGATCTCCAGATTCTGGGGGCTTCCTATAGGAATCTAGATGGTTCTTCTACTCTTAAGGCCCTTCCACACAGCCCTATATAACAGAATATCAAGGCAGAAAATACCACAATATCTGCTTTGAACTGGGTTAACTGAGTCCACACTGCCATATATTCCAGTTCAAAGCAGATATCGTGGGATTTTCTGCCTTGATATTCTGGGATATTGGGCTGTGTGGAAGGGACTTTAGTTTCTAAATCTGTCTATTCACTATAAGGTACTAAGAGAAGTCAGAAACCGAACATGATACTGGTGTGTGTGTTTGTCACATTTTGTGTGAGCTGTCAGTACTTTGGAGTTCAGCTTTTGCGGATGGCAAAATAATAATTATTTTCACGCAGGAGTTTAGAGTTTGCATATCAAATCCCATGCTTAGATACAAGAAGGAAATTATGAAGTGCAGTATTTTGAGGTTCTTGACTGCAAGAGAGGCATTAAAGAACTGAATCCCACTGCTAGTCTCAACTAGAATACACCCATTGCATCAAGAAATTGTGCAAAGAACCAGTGTGGAGGAGTAAGTGGTTTGAGTGTTGGACTGTGATTCTTGGAGAAGAGTGGGATTTCTGTTCAGCCATGGAAATATAACAACAACAACAACAACAACAACAACAACAACAACAACAACAACAGAAGAACTGGTGGGATCACAAGCCTGAAAAAGTTACAGAAAATGAACATGTCAAACTACTCTGGGACTTCCGAATTCAGACTGACAGAGTTTTTGGAGCACAATACTCCTGACCTCACAATCATGTTAAAAAACAAAGTATGGATTGTTGATGTTGCCATCCCAGGTGACAGCAGGATGGAAGAGAAACAACTGGAAAAGCTGACACGATGTGAGGATTTAAAGATCGAACTGGAAAGACCCTGGCACAAGCCAGTCAAGGTGGTCCCAGTGGTAATCGGCACACAAGTGCCTGAAGACCCTGCACTTAAACACAATCAGCGCTGTCAAAATTACCATTTGTCAGCTGTATGGCCATGTTTAGAAGCATTATCTCCTGACATTTCGCCTGCATCTATGGCAGCCATCCTCCGAGGTTGTGAGGTCTGTTTCAGAGGTTGTGAGATTTAGAGAACTCCCTTCCAGGTTTCCTCCAAAAGCAGCATTGTTAATAATTGGGTTCTTGTAGGTTTTTTGGGCTGTATGGCCATGTTCTAGAAGCATTCTCTCCAGACGTTTCGTCTGCATCTATGGTAGCCATCCTCTGAGGTGGTGAGGTCTTTCTCAGAGGTTGTGAGATTTAGGGAACTCCCTTACAGGTTTCCCCCCAAAAACAACCTTGTTAATAATTGGGTTGTTGTAAGTTTTTCGGGCTGTATGGCCAAGAAACATTCTCTTCTGACGTTTCACCTGCATCTATGGCAGGCATCCTCAGAGGTGGTGAGGTCGGTCTCCGAGATTGTGAGATTTAGGGAACTCCCTTCCAGGTTTCCCCCAAAAGCAACCTTGTTAATAATTGGGTTGTTGTAGGTTTTTCGGACTGTGTGGCCATGTTCTAGAAGCATCCTCTCCTGACGTTTCGCCTGCATCTATGGCAGGCATCCTCAGAGGTAGTGAGGATGCCTGCCATAGATGCAGGCGAAACGTCAGGAGAGAATGCTTCTAGAACATGGCCATACAACCCGGAAAACCAACAACAACGCAGTGATTCTGGCCATGAAAGCCATAATAATTGTGAATAATTGTTCCGCCGCGCAAACTTTGTTGGTGGCGCGTACAAACTCCAAACCAAAAACCCCAACCCAAACTCTCCCAAGTAAGTCTGGTGGGAAGGCTGCTTCCCGAGGGAAGGGTCTGTCTCTTTAAGGGCTCCAAGGGCTGGCTCGGGGCTGGAAGCCGGGAAGGGAAGAGCGAGGCGCCGGGCTCTTTGCGCCTTGCCCGGGAGAGCCGAGGGCAGAGCTGGCTCCCACCTGGGGCTGGGCGGCGAGAGGAGCGCCTTGCCTCTCTCTTCCGACTGAGAGCTTGCTCTCTGCTCTTCTCTGTCCGCTTCTAACAGGGATGTGAGCCACAAAGTCCAGCGAAGAGGAGAAGCCCAAAGCAGCAGCGCCAGCAGCAGCGCCGCCTCCTCCTCCTCCTCCTCCTCCTTCCGCGTGGCATCTCCCCACGGATCGGGTCCACCTGCTGCTCCTCCGCCTCTGGGAACCTCTGGCCTCTCTCTTCCTCCCTCTGGTTGCCTTCTTCCCTTTTCCTCGGGAAGCAAACATGGAGAGCGGGGCACTTTCCAGCTCCCAGCAGCAGCTGATCCGAGCCAGTTGGCAAAAAGTGAGCGCCAACCCTTTGGAGCACGGCATGGTCCTCTTCAGCAGGTAAGGCCGGGGAAGAGGGGCGGGGGAGGGAGGGGACTCTCCGTGAAGGGAACTCCAAAAGAACCCCCAGAGGAAGCCAGCCCCACTCGCTACCTGGCCTCACCTGGAAGACCATGCCCAGTTCTGGGCTTCCCAATTCAAGAAGGATATGGACAACCTGAGAAGGTTTGGAAACAGCTGGGTATGTTTGCATTGGAGAAAAGAAGGTTCCACAAAGTCCCTCTATCCCAGGATCTGATCCCAGATTATCCAGCACTGTAGACTCACATAATCCAGTCCAAATCAGATAAAATGGGACCAGAGCCTGGGGTATAGGTAGTGTAGAAGGGGCTTCAGAAGGACAGGATAGCCATGTTTCAATATGCGAAAGGATGCCACATTGAGGAAGGGGCAAGCTTGTTTTCTGCCACTCTGGAGACCTCATCACACTAGAGAATAAATCTACTTTAAATCTGGAGTTTGTAGTTTAGGAGGGAGCCTTTAACAACCTCATTCAACTACAAACCCCCGAATTCTGCAGCAGGTATAACCAAATTTGAAGTGAGTTTATTCTCTAGAGCTGTTCAGCAATGGAACTCTCTGCCTCTGAGTGGTGGAGGCTCCTAGAATCATAGAGTTGGAAGAGACCTTGTGAGACATCCAGTCGAACCCCCTGCCAAGAAGCAGGACAATCTCATTCAATGCACCACCAACAGATGGCCATCCAGCCTCTGTTTTAAAGCTCCACACTCCAGAGCAGCGAGTTCCACTGCTGAACAGCTCTCACAGTCAGAATGTTCTTCCTAATGTTCAGCTGGAATCTCCTTTCTTGTAGTTTGAAGCTACTGCTCTCTGTCCTAGTCTCCAGGGCAGCAGAAAACAAGCTTGCTCCCTCTTCCCTGTGACTTCCTCTCATATATATACACATGGCCCTCATCATGTCTCCTCTCAGCCTTCTCTTCTTCAGGCTAAACATGCCCAGCTCTTTAAGCCACACCTCATAGGGTTTGTTCTCCAGACCCTTGATCATTTTAGTCGCCCTCTTCTGGACACATTCCAGCTTGTCAACATCTCCTTTCAATTGTGGTGCCCAGAACTGGACACAGTGTGATTCCAGGTGTGATCTGACCAAGGCAGAATAGAGGGATAGCACGACTTCCCTGGATCTAGACACTATACTCCTCTTTATGCAGGCCAAAATCCCATTGGCTTTTTTGGGGGAGGTTTTTAAACAGAGGCTGGATGGCCATCTAATGGGAAGTGGTTTGATTGTATGTTCCTGCATGACAGGGGGTTGGACTGGATGGCCCTTGGGGTTTCTCCTAACTCCATAATTCTATATTTGAATGTATTTAGTAGTGAGGGATGCCCTCTCATTCCATCATCTCCTCAAAAGTGGATGACTCAATCTCTCTCCACCAGTCAAGTGCCTTTTTTCGCTTCTCTCAGCAGCCACTCCAGGACAAGCCTCTTGGAATCTGCCTCTGTGACCCTGCCATCCATCTTGTCCACTCACTCAGCCTCTTTTCTGTCTGGACAAACAAACCTGGTCCATTTCTTAAATCCCCTCTGTCTCCTCCTTGGGTGCATCTACACTGTAGAATTAATGCAGTTAGATACCCCAGTGGCACAGTGGGTTAAACGGCTGTGCTGCTGAACTTGCTACTGCTTACTACTGAAAGGTTGGTGGTTTGAATCTGGGGAGTGGGGTGATCTCCCACTGTTAGCCTCAGCTTGTGCCAACCTAGCAGTTCAGATACATGCACATGTGAGTAGATCACTAGGTACTGCTTCAGCAGGAAGATAATGGCATGCCGTGCAGTCATGCCAGCCACATGACTTTGGAGATGTCTATGGAGAACGCCGGCTCTTTGGCTTAGAAATGGAGATAAGTGCCACTCCCTAGAGTCGGACATGACTAGACTTATGTCAAAGACAAACATTTACCTTTACCTTTCATACTACTTTAACAGCCATGGCTCAATGCTATGGAAGCTTGAGATTTGTAGTTTGGTGAGGCATTAGGACTCTTTGGCAGAGAAAGCTAAAGACTTTGCAAAACTAAAACTCCCAGGATTCCATAGCATTGAGTCTGTTAATACTGGGGTGAAGCTGCATTAATTCTACCGTGTAGATCAGGAATGGGCAAACTTTCTAACTAGGAGGCTGGGTGGGTGGGCCAGGAGGGAGGGAGTTTGCCACAAGCCCCCTCCCTGCCCTTTCCTCTCCTTCCTCTTCTCATTCGGAGGCAGAAAGTGAAGGAAAGACGGGAAAAGGGTTGACCTTGGTCAGGATGAGATGGTGGACAGGAGAGAAAACATGTATCCATTAGTCCTACTCCTGTATTGCCTACTCCTGATGTATAATTCTAGAATCCTAGAAAGAGCTGGGAGAGACCCCCCCAAGGGCCATCCAGTCCAACCCCCTGCCATGCAGGAAGGCAAAATCAAAGCACTCCTAATAGACATCCTCTGAGGAAAAGCCTCCAGCGAAGGAGACTCCACCACACTCCCAGGCAGCCTGTGCTACTCTCCAACTACTCTTACGTTTGGGAAGTTCTTTCTGATCTTTTCAGTTGAATCTCTTTCTCTGCCACTTGAAACCATTGCTGCCTTATCCATTTCAGGATAAGGCCTTTCCTGCCCCTTGGACTAATTTAATAATTCTATACACAATGAAAAAGGAAATGGCTACAAAGGAAGACCTCCTAGGTTCTCCTATGGGTTTTTCCTTCCTGATAGAGGAAAATGGGAGATTGGTAGAAAGAAGCGTCTAGTTCTGACATGCTGAAGGAGAGGCAGCCTTGTGTAGTGGTTTGAGTGTTGGAGTAGGCAAGCTGCACTCTCTCAGCCTCATAGGAGGATAATGTCAAATCCCCTGTGAGGAAATCTTGCTAAGAAATTCTGATAGATTTATTTTAGGGTCACTGCAAGTCCCAAACAACGTGAAGGCACACAACAACACCAAAAACACACTATAACTAATAGAACATTTTGAAGAGAAAAGAGAAAAGTAGAACATTATAGTATTATCTGCATATCAGTGGGGAATATAATCCTGGACTTACCATGGAAACATGAAACTATGGATAATAATGAATTCTGTTGAAACAAATGACTTCAGGCAGGAGCATAAGATAGAACTGTGTAGGAGAAGCAGACAGGCTTTGAAACTGCAAGGCCATTAAATGCTAACCAAGCTGGCCAATTGCAACATTCACATTTGCCTCCAACAGACAAGAGCTATTTCTTCCACTCTGGCCATTCCACAGATATATAAACTTCACTTGCCCAGTTTCCAACAGACCCTCACAACTTTTGAGGATGCCTGTCATAGATGTGGGTGAAACTTCAGGAGAGAATGCTTCTGGAATGTGGCCATTCAGCCTGGAAAACTCATAGCAACCCAGTGATTTCGGCCATGAAAGCCTTTGACAAGACATTAAACCTTTAAAAATGTCTGGAGAGAACACCTCTCTATCATTTCTAAGTTTTTTAGCACAGTGCTATGGTCAGCTTTCAATGTAAGCAAACTATGAAATAGCACTGGAAGACCTAGAAAATGCCTAGAGAGAACACCTCTCTAGCATTTCTAGGTGCCTTAGCACAACTCTATAGTCAACGTTTGGCATAAGCATACAATGGAATTGTGCTGAGGGAATTAGAAAATCCTTAGAGAGAATGAATTGTTTTGGACATGGGAAATCAAACTGTGATTACTGTGATTACAGCCAATATAAGGAGTCATACTGTACTTCCATTAATCAACTGAGGGTAATATCTTATATTGCATATTTAAAGCTTTAGTCAATACCCTTTATTTCATCTACATATTATGGACAAGAATGGATATAGTGCTTCACTGACTACAAGCTGCTCTTCCCCCATTTCCTTTAATAAACTGGCAGCCCTAAAGGCTGATGTGGACACATTGTTAGAACTTTCAGTAGGAAGATCTAAGCTTGAATTTGTGGTCTAGTTAGAGCAATGGTGTTATGACAATGCATTTGTCAAGCTAGCCCTTGTAGACACGGAAAACTCAAAATGCAGGTTGCTGTGTTAATTCATATTAATTACACAGTTCTAAAAGTTTCCTTCTCTATCCAAAGCAGATGACACAGGACTCTTAATTTCCCACCCCAGACTAAGGGCCCTTCCAAACAGCCCTATATCCCAGAATATCAAGGCAGAAAATTGCACAATATCTACTTTGAACTGAGTTATCAGAGTCCACACTCAGATAATGTGGGATTTTCTCCCTTGATATTCTGGGATATAGGGCTGTGTGGAAGGGCCCTAAGTCACTCCAAAATATTTTGCATTATAGTAGGAGCAGCTCAATAATGGAATATGTCTGCTAGGGGAAAAATATTCGAGTCACCGTAGCAATTGCTTCTAATTTCAAATGGAACAGGGATATCTGAAGGATGACAGATGTCATCATCATCCCTGCCAATCAAAAAGCCATTTCTGTTTAACCCTGAATCATTTGACTCCACTGGTTTGCTTTCTGTGTTTGGGTTTGAGCTGAGGGGCTGGGTCCCTTCAGTTGGTAGTCTGGTTGCCCTTAGGTGAACAGTGTACTCTTAGATGTTGCTTGGTTACAGCTAAAGTCAGCCCTTCACATTTGCAGATGAATCTTTTCTGGATTTGAATATTCATGGATTTGATTAAAATGTTCCCTCTAGAAATCTCTAGGGCAGTGGTGGTGAACCTTTCAGGGACCGAATGCCCAAACTACAATGCAAAACTAGCTGTAAAATGGGGGTGGGGGTTAAAGTATGACCTGCATATCATTGATTGAATATAATCCTGGAGATATCATGGAAACAGGAAACTATGGATAATAGTGAATTGTATTGAAACAAATGATTAGAGGCAGGAGCATAACATAGACTTCTGCAGGAGAACCTAAAAATGCCTGTGGAGAACACCTCTCTACCACTTCTAAGTCTTCAGCTACAGAGCTACGATCTGATTTCAATGGAAGCAAACCATGAAATAGCACTGGAAGACCTAGAA